TGGATTTACAGAGGATTTCTCAAAATACTTCTATTTTTCTTTCAGCCAGTTTGAAAACATCTACACTTTGGAAACATCATTTGGTAGTTACCTGAGAAATTGACCAAAGTCTGAAGTTAGCTGCTATCTTTAGTCTCCTCTGATAAAATAAGAACTTTAGACTGTTTTAGGGTTTTTTTTGTTTGTTTCTTTCTTTCCCACACTGCTGGCTTATATATTATTGTTGTCATATATTTTAATTATTTTTGTTGAGGCATTTAATACTGTTGTTTTATACAGTCAGTATTTAAATTTATCCACATATTCACTATGTCCTGAGTTCTTCATTTCTTTTTTAATTTCAGTGTTTCTGTTTGGGATTATCTTCTACCTCAAATAAATTCTTTAGGGTTTCCTTTGGTTGAAATCTGCTCCTGGAGAATTCTCAGTTATCGTTGGTCTGAACATGTCTTGCTTTCTCTCTCTGTTTTTATAGATATTTTTGGGGGCCAGAAATAGAATTGTAAATAAGCACTTGCTTCTTTTCAGTACACGAATGTACCGTTTTGACTTCTAGGTGTCACTGTTGATGTTGAGAAGTTGGTTATCACTGTAACGATTGATCCTTTGAGGGAATCTATCTTTTAGGGTTAAAAAAAAATTATCTGATGCTCTTCCATTTATCGATATTGAAACTGAGTATGGATTTCTTTTTATTCAGCCTTAGGATTTGTTTGGCTTCTTAAATCTGTGTATTGGTGTCTTTCATTAATTCAGAAAAATTCTTAGCCATTATAATTTAAAATATTGCCACTCTGCTATTCTCTCTTCTTTTTCTTGCTGGGACTCTGTTCTAGATTCTGAATCATTTCTTCTCTTATTAGTTCACAAGTTCTCTGTTTAGCTGTATGTCAGCTGTTATACCCACCCATTGTTTTCGTCCCAAGAAATTCCTAAACATTCTATTTATTTAAAACACATATGCTATAATTTTTGTGGTTTCCTTGCAGAAATTTATTGAAGATATTTAAAACTGGCCTTTTATTCTTTAAAGACATCAAGCATGATTGCATTTGATCTAGCCTGATAATTCTAGTTCCTGAAGTCTTTGTGGATCTGTTTCTACTGTTTGTTATCTCCGCGGGTTCTCACTCCTTTTACTTTAACTGGTTTATTATTTTTGACTGTATGAATATTACTGCCCTTATAGGTATCATTTTTAGAAACTGTTTGGGGCGTAGCATGAAGGTGCATTCTTCAGAGGACATTTATTTTTACCTCTGCTTCATGCTTAGGGGAACGACCAGCCCAGAACCATGTTAAGTTCAGTGACGCCATAAGATGTTTTTCTGTTTTGTTTTTTTTATGCCCAACCAAATTATGTAAATTTCAGCTACAAATCCGCTTAAGAGCTGCTGGTGTTTGAACTTCTCAGGGAAGTTTCTGTGAGCAGTGCAAAGTAACTTCCTACTAGTATCCTGGTGGTGGCAAGGGGCTGTGTCCTTCTTGGTCAGTCTTATCTTGAAGACAGTCTTTGGGGATCTCATCATTTTGTGGGAAGCATCACTGAATAAATGTTGATGTGACATCTGCCCCTTCGTCTCGTTCAGTCACTGAAGTCTGATGTCCAAAGCGAAGCTCGTGTTTGCGGAGCTGGACGGACACCCTCAGAACAAGGCAGCTTCATGGTTCTGTTTCCCTGACGGGTCTCCAATCACTTTTGTTTGGCCTGGTACTTCCCTGGTGGGTAGTCGTATTTTCTGTGCCTTTAAAGAGATTTAGTAAATACCTTTCTGGAATTTTCAGTTGTTCCTGGTAAGAGTATTGGTCCAAATTATTAGCCCATAATAAAATATTGCTATCTTTACTTTATATGGCTTCTCTTTTAAAAATTATTTCTGACACTTGTATTTAGTTTGCAATCATATTTATAGCAATTTCTATTTATATTTAGTAGATTTCAGTAGTCAGCAAATAACTTTCCACATTCTTAACCCAAGCATATATCTTAAAAATATATTTAATAGAGTTTATGTTTTAGAGCAGTTTTACGTTCACAGCGGTTTCCCGTGTACTCTCTGCCCCACTCACACAGAATCTCCATCATTACCGACATCTTCCGCCGGAGTGGTCCATTTGGTCCAATTAATGAACCTACGTTGACTCATCACTGTCATTCAAGGACCACGGTTTACATTAGGGTTTATTCTTGGCTTGTACATTCTACTGGTTTGGACAAATGTAGAGTGACATGTGTCTGCCATCACAGTATCATGCACAGTATTTCGACTGCCCTAAAAATCCTCTGGGCTTCACTAACCCATCCCTGCGTCCTCTCTAACCTCTGGCAACCACTCATCTTTTTCCTGTTGCCATGATTTTGCCTTTTCCATAATGTCAGATACTTGGAACCATCCATTTCAGATCGGATTCTTTCACGCAGTAACATGCTTTTAAGTTTCTGCTATGTCTCTTCATGGTTTGATAGCTCATTTCTTTTTAGAGATGAATAATATTTTATTGTCTGGATGTACCACAGTTTATTATCCCATTCATCTACTGAAGAACATCTTGGTTGCTTTCAAGTTTGGGCAGTTATGAACAGAGCTGTTATACGCATCAATGTGCAGTTTGCGTGTGTGTGTAGCCATAAGTTTTAACCCCTTCAGTAAATACCCAGAAGTGTGATTGCTGGGTCATGTGACAAGAGTATATGCTTAGTTTTTGAAAATATTGTCTTCCAGTTGGTGGCTTGTCTTTTCATTTTCCTGACATTGCATGTTCAAAGCAGAAGTTTTAATTTTAATTAATTCCAGTTTATCATTTCTTTCTTTCAAGGATCATGTCTTTGGTGGAGTATCTAAAAGTAATCACCATACCCAAGTCATGTAGGTTCTTCCCTATGTTACCTTCTAGGAGTTTTACAGTCTGCACTTTACATTTGGGTCTGATGTCCGTTTCAGGTTAACTTCGTGGGGGTGCAGTCTGTGTTCACATACATGTTTGTAGGGGACGTGAGGGTGTTCCGGCACCACCTGTCTACAAGCTCTCTGTCCCTGTGTACTCCTTTGTTCCTTGGTTAGAGATGAGTTGACTACACCTATGTGGGTCTCTTTCTGGACGCTCCCTTATGTTCCGTGGATATACTTGTCTGTTCTTTTGCCAATCCTACTACACTGTCTTGATTACTGTACCTGTATAGCGAGACTTGACGCTGGGTGGTGCAGTCTTCCAGCTTCGTCGTTTGTTTTCCTTTCAATGTCACGTTAGCTAGGCCTTTCCCTCTCCATACACACTTTACTTATTTATTTATTTTGCAATTTTTATTACAGATGTTTCCTCTTTTTCCCCTCTAGACACCCTCCTCCCACCCCCCACCCCCAGTATTGTTGTTTATGTCCATTGGTTACACATACATGCATTAAGTTCTTTGGTTTATCTCATCCCTCCCCCCACCACCCCCTTCTCTGATGTTTGTCAGTCTGAACCGTGCCCCTTTCTATGTCTCTGGGCTCCATATAAACTTTAAAACCAAAGTAACTTGCTGGGCTTGTGATTGGTGGTAAGCATTGAATCTATAGGTCAAATTGGGAAGAACTGAACCTTGTCAATATGGAAGCTCCTCATCCATGCACACTGTCCATTTACTTAGCTCCTCTGTGGTTCATCACAGCTCGAATTTTCCTTCTATAGCTCTTGTTCACATATTTTTTTAGATTCATACCTAAGTGTTTCATTTTTACAGGAGCTGATGTGCATGGCACTGTGTTTTTATTTCAAACCCCACTTTTCATTTCTGATACAGGGGGAAGCAACGCTTTTGTGCATTAACCTTGTGCCCTCCGACCTCACTGTTATCAATTACTTCCAAGAGCTTGTTTTGTTGATTCTTTTGGATTTTCTACATAGATGATCCTGTCATTTGTGAACTAAGACAATTTTATTTCTTTTTCCCCAGTTTGCATACCATTTGTTTCATTTTCTTGTCTTATGCATTGGCTAGGATGTTATATATCTTTAAGTATACATATTTTTTAATTTTTAGGAAAGGGGAATAGAGGAGTGTATTTTCTATATTCTGACAGAGTCCCTTATTTCTCTGTGGGCGCAGAGGCCTCAGAGAGCCCCCATCCTAGTGCACTTCTCTCCTTGCTAACCCTGTGTCCCCCGTCCCCCGTGTGCTCCGGGGCGCCCCGCCCCCCTGCAGCCCCGCCCCTCGCCTCCAGCCGGGCCTGCTCTCCGAACAGCAGGGCCTGCAGCCCTGAGGACGCGGGATACCACCCCCCCCACCCCCACCCCCGCGACAGTGGCCCGGCCTCACCACCTGTTCCACACGCCGGCTCCTCCGACCAGACGGGCAGCAGGGGCTCCTCCGAATTCAAGCAATAGGTTCACAGAAGTCTTCGCTTTTACAACTTTCAGATGTCCGTGGTTTTTTCCCCTGTGACTTCATATCTGAGGGTCCAAAAGCGGAGGTCTGAGGTAGACAACCAGCCAGACAGTATTTTAAGTGAGAACCCTCCTTGCTTCTTTCCTTACACCCATTCGCTTGTTCTCCAAGTCTGATGCTAAGTGAGGATGATTTATCGTAAAAACAGGAGCGTGATGTACTCACCCTTTCTGCACCCGAAGTCCAGACAGACAGACAGAGAGCAAACCTCCCGCACTCGGGCAACACAGGGCCGGGAGGGGGGCCTCAGCGGGGCATTCGACGGCCGTCTCCTGGCCCTGTTTCTCACTCGTTGACTGGCAGGGGACACCCGCGTTGCAGCGATGGGGCAATTCAGACCCCAGCTGCTTCTTCCTGTCAAGTCTGGTGATCTCACTGCCTCAGAGGCACAGGGGAAGGGAAGGGACAGCTACTGGGAACGAGGGAGGTGGTAGGAGCCCTGGGCCGCGGCAAGCAGCCTGGTAGAACCGCCTTTCGTGGGGCTGGGATACCAACCTTCTAGGGTCTCCTTTCCATCCTAAGAAAGTAATGCAAACACTAAACGTGCTCATGATCCATCTTCCATTTCCAGAAAGAAGAGGCACGTGACGTCAGAGTATGGGCCTGTGATATGACCTGCAGCTTCTGGGAACAAGACCTTCCGCCTGGTGTGTGCAAGATGGGGTGACTTTGGAGTCTGGGCGCATGTCCACACTTCAGAGGAAGGGCGGTGGCCTGGGGAGCAGGGGCAGTTCCGATGCCCTGAATCTTGGGGAGCAGAGAAAGCAAGAAAGGGATTCAGATCAAGTGTCAGCTAACTGGGGGTGGAAACCAGAGGCAGAAACCCTGGAGGGCCCTAGAGACAAGGGTGCGCAGGAAGCCTCGGAGGGCCCCGTGCAGGGGAGCCTGGTGCAAGCTATTTGGAGAGAGAAGAGGAGGACAGACGGAAAGGGGCCCCGACACAAACAGGTGGGACGACAGACCCGCAGGAGGAAGCACAGGGGGAGAAATGTGCCCGACGACCTCCACTGTGTCTGCACCTGGCAGCATCTGCCTGCGGGCGGAGGGCCTGGAATGGAAGTTCCAGGAGCATGGACACATTTAGTGGAAGATCAACTCCGGAGAGCACTGTGTTTGGAGAGGGAGCAAGGCAACGGGCCTGGGGGTGGGCCAGTGATGACCTGGCTCCACCGCTGAGTGGGAACGAGGCCGCAGCTCTTTGCTGGACTCCGCCTTGACCCCTACAGACACACACTCGCCTCACAGAAACACCACCCCCTGGCTCACTGCAGTAGGGAATCGCCCGCCCGGGGACTGGTGGGTCCCGGCCCGCAGGCAAGTCATCAGTCCTGGAGCAGGGCCGCCTGCTCGTTTCTCGAGATGAATGGGTGGACGAATGGACGACGCTTCTGGAGGCCACTAAGGTCATTGTGAGCCTCAGTGGGCATGCCCACTGCATGGGCCACTCTCTGCAGGCTGTCCAAGGGCTCCTTGGCAGGAGGCCTGCGTCTGTCCCAGTGTCCGCTTCCTCTGGAGGTCAGGGTCAGCCCCTCTCCATTCTGAGTGGCAGAACAGGCATGAGTGCCTGGGAAAGTAGGGGATTGGATTTGGCTTCATTCGCAGACCAGGGAAAGCTGAGAGAAGTTGGGGGAAGAAACTTGTTGGGGCCTTAACTACCATATCTGTACCAGGCTGGGGTTCTTGTGACAAACCTTGACAGCAGCAGGTCTGGTTCCCTGACACGGACTCACATCCCCGCAGTTCTCCGGTGAGGTGAGTCACACAGCGCCTGCCAGGCTACTTTCTGCAGTTGGGTCCCCTGGACACCTTGGTCCCCCTCTGCTTCTCCCAGGCCTTGCCTGACACCTTCCTGCCTGGCACCCAGACCAGCACAGAGGCCCCTGGTGGCCTGGGCAGAGCTGCCAGTCCTGGGCAGAGGTCTCCTGTGCTGGTGACGGGCAGGTGCCTCCCCCTCCCTCTTCTTGTCTTGGGGAACTCCCCTCCCCTGGTGCAGGAGAGGAAATTAAGCAAATATCACTATCATAGGTTCATTTTGATTAAACAGAGGATCCCATCTGCATATATTGGAGTAATACAGGCAATAAACAAATGCATTCTAAGCTGAGCATGTTGTCTTAAGATGGAAGTCCAGTTTTATGGAAAGATTTGACCCTGGTGTCTCCTGACCCGTGTGGTATTTGGTAACCAGAAGGAGCAAATGGACCTTCCAGGTCTGACCTCGGAGGGGCTGAGAAAGGCACCCCTGCTTACCACTTTTAAAAATGTAAATGTTGTCTATAGTTATATTTAACTATAATTTGCATTAGCTTGAATTAACTTTTCAGTTAGCACTAGTCTCGTACGAGTGCTCAGAAGAAGTGGAAATGGTTTTGATTAGGGATGGTGAGGGGAGGGGTCAGCCAGCTGGGAAGGCAGGGCCAGTGCGGCCCCACAGGGCGACCAGCCTGAGCGCGCTGGCTGTCTGGTCGGGGATGCGGTAGACACCGTTGATTTTTAGGGACCAGCCTCTCAACCACACACGTTTCCTTGGCTGCCCTCTCTCCACATCTGTTTCCCCTCCTTTGCCAAAGCCAAGCCTCACCTGTCTTTGCACCAGTTCTGACTTTTCTGCACACAAATAGCAATGTCTCTAAGCCACAGCCTCGGTCATTCTTACTGAACGGCAGAGTGGCTGGCTTGTTTAGTTAAATTCTATCGAAATGAAGAGCTACCCGAGCTTCTGTGAGCGTTCGTGGATGGAGGAGCAAATAGGCCATTTGTTTGCCCTTGCTCATGCGGATGCAGGGCCTCCAGCCCACCCCAGCGCCTCACCAGTGTCAGGCAGAGACGGACGTTGCCATGGAGCAGCTCTTGATTTCTCGGGGGGGGGGGTATCCGCAAGGGGCCCCTATTAGCTTGGGGACTGGGGGGTCACCCAGCCTTTGTGACTTGGCAGTGTTCGCTCTCTCCTGTTCCCCTGGTGGTAGCTCTGGCTGCTGGGGAAGTTCCGGGGAAGAGACCCCATCCCTTCCCTTTCCAAGTTCTGTATTGTAAGAACTTCCGCGACAGATTCGGATGGTCCTTCATTGAGGTTCTTAGGAAAAAATTCCTGAAGGGAGCCCAGCAGAAGGGCAGAGGACTTGGGATCTGTGCTCCACCCCAAGGACTCACCTTCATCTTGAACTCCCTACGCCTCCTCCTTCTCTTCACATCGACACTGGCTCAGCCCACTCTGCCCTTCACCCCGCCTGAGCGCAGTGAGAAGGGACCGGAAGCCCAGCACACGTCACACGGGTCCACTGAGCTCGAGTGGAGCCGCAGCTATGTCTGGCCTTCCTGTCATGTGTTCTTGCTTAATTTTCTCTGCAAGTCTGTAAGATTCTTTCTACCTTTTATTTTTCAATCCTCACCCGAGGGCGTTTTTCTGTTTATCTTCAGATAGTGTAGGAGGGAGGGAGAAAGAGAGAGAAACATCGACGTGAGAGGGACACGTCGACTGGTTGCCTCCCACACGACCCTGACCAGGGCCGGGGATGAATCACAGCTGAGGTATGTGCCCCTGACCGGAATCAAACCCATGACCCATTGGTCCCCAGGCCAACGCTCTAACCACTGAGCAAACCAGCCAGGGCTCTTTCAACCTTTGGAGTGCTCTCTCCTTAACCTCCAAAATCCTCCCCATCTTGTCAGCTGACCACCCACCTTCCATTTCCCAAGAGAATAGTAGAAGAAATCAGAATGGAACTGTGTTTGTCCACCACCTGATCCATCATTCACCCTCGTGCTTCTGAGAGCCTGTGGTCGACCCTGCGCAGACTCCTGCCCGGTGTCCACCCCGCGTGACAATGAGCAGTGCCAGTGACGGCCAGTGCCCCCGTAGCCTGGATGTCCTTCGCCCTTGTTGACTCAGGGCGCTGCATTTTCACTTACCCCTTTTCTCCTGGCGATTAACTAGACCTAGCTTCTGCGCCAGGTCTCTGCTCCACGTTACAGCAGGATTTCTCAAAAGACCGGTCCATATTTACTGTTGGCCCTTCTCAGCTTCCATTCTCTTCTCAACCCACTCCAAGGGAGCTCTTGTCAGTCCTTCTTTGGAACTGTTCTCATCCTCATCACTAGTGAGACATTGGCCAAATCCAACGGGCTGGTTCTCCTTACCCTACTCGATCTCTCAGCAGCATTTGAAATAGTCGATCGCTCCCGTCTTTGTTACAAACATTTCACAATAAAGTATTTCATCCCTACGAAGGATGTGAAAGGTCAGAGTGAGGTCATCCTGCTCACGACTGCACACATCGCTGATGCAGTTGAAGCCCTGTGTGTCTCTCCGTCTTCGGTTTATTTGAACGTGTCTTCTTCCCAGACACCGCACCGTCCCTCCCATTTCACAGGCAGCTCCTGCGCTCACTCGTGCCTCTTGGCCTCCGTCCTGACTCACCTTGGACTTTTTTATCTAAAGACCCTCACTAGGGGTCTCATTCAATCCATGCCTTTAAAAATTGTGTATATGCTGACGGCTCCCAAATTTACCTCTGTAAACCCGACCTCTCACCACAGTTCTAGATGATGGCTGCCCAACAAAGCCTTGATTGATTCTGTATTCCGGCGTACCCTCTCACTCTGCGTCTCTCACAGGTTCTCCATCGTACTGATGTGCCACCTGGATGTAGTGATGTGCCACCTGGTTGTGATGCTGTCACCTGGTTGTAGTGATGTGCCTCCTGGATGTAGTCATGTGCCACCTGGTTGTAGTGATATGCACCTGGATGTAGTGATGTGCCACCTGGTTGTAATGCTGTCACCTGGCCGAATCCCACACTCACCCTTGATGCTTTCTTTCTCTCTCACTTTGTCTAATTATGAGCAAGTTCTATCAGTGCTGTGTTTAATATTCATCCTAAGGCTGACTAGGTAGCATCTTCTCTGCCAGCCCAAGTTGTCTCCGTCTCTCTTACACAGTTCCCATTGCCTCCTAAGTGGTCTCCCGGCCCACCCTCCTGCTTCCCTCTAGGAGATTATCCTTAGTGGCCAGAGCGATTCTTTTTTTTTAATCTTCACTGTTGAATGTATTACAGATGTTCCTTATTTTCCCCCATTGACCCCTCCTCCCCACTCCCGCCCCCCTCCTGCCTTTCCCCACACTGTTGTCTGTGTCCACTGGTTATGCATATAAGTTCTTTGGTTTATTTCTTCCCACTCCCCACCCCCCTTCCCTTTGAGGTTTGTTCATATATTTTATCTTTTTCTTCAAGAAGACCCTTCAACATTTTATATAATAATGGTTTGGTGGTGATGAACTTCTTTAGCTTTTTCTTCTCTGGGAAACTCTTTATATGGCCATCGATTCTAAATGACAGCTTTGCAGGATAGAGTAATCTCGGTTGTAGGTTCTTGCTTTTCATCACTCTGAATATTTCTTGCTACTCCCTTCTGGCCTGCAAAGTTTCTTTTGAGAAATCAGCTGACAGTCTTATGGGAACTCCCTTGTAGGTAACTAACTGCTTTTCTCTTGCTTTTCTCTTGCTTTTAAGATTCTTTGTCTTGAACCTTTTGCATTTTGATGATGATGTGTCTTGGTGTGGGCCTCTTGGAGTTCATCTTGTTTGGGACTTTCTGTGCTTCCTGGACTTATATGTCTGTTTCCTTCACCACATTAGGGAAGTTTTCTGCCATTATTGTTTCAAATAGGTTTTTGATTTCTTGTTCTCTCTCTTCTCCTTCTGCACCCCCAAGATGCGAATTTGGCATGCTTGAAGTTGTCCCAGAGGCTCCTTACACTATCCTCATTTTTTTGGATTCTTTTTTTTGCTGTTCTGATTGGGTGTTTTTTGCTTCCTTACATTCCAAATCGATGGTTTGCTTCTTGGCTTTACCTCCTCTACTACTGAATCTGTGTAAATTATTCTTTATTTCAGTTTGTGCCTCCCTCATTTCTGACTGGTCTGATTTTATGCTCTTGAGGCCCTCACTAGGTTTGCTGAGGTTCTCACTAAGTCCATTAGCATCCTTATAAGCAGTGGTTTGAACTCAGCATCTGTTAGGTTGCTTATCTCCATTTCGCTTAGTTCTTTTCCTGGGGTTTTGTTCTGTTCTTTCTTTTAGGACCCGTTTCTTTGTCTCCTCATTTTGGCTGCCTCCCTGTGTTTGTTTCTGTGTATTACTTAACGAGAGGTATGGGGCTCGCTGAAACCAGATGCTGCTTGTTTGAAAGAATTTAGGAAAACCTGAAGCAGGATCCAAGACAGGCCAATCCTATGGTTAAGCAAGTGCCAACAGCTTGGGTGGGCCTGAAAGTTGGGTGGGGTGGGGTGGGGCGGGGCCTCAGGGAATCACCAGGGCGGGGCTACCAGTGTGAGCCAGGTTGCTGGAGTCCCAGATATGGTGGCTGTCTGCTGCCCCAGGGAAGGGCTCACCAAAGGAACAAAGGCCTCTGTCAGCACGTTTGTCCCGGAGAAAGCCCCCTCTCCAGCCCTCGCTCCAGTGCCAAACAGCTCAGTTCTTCCCTGTATGTCTCTGGCACCCCTCGAGCTGCCTCCCCTCCAAGCTTAGAGGGAGAGAGTCCGACAAGTCCGTGCGCAGGCACTTTAAGGAGCTGCCTGGGGCTCCAGCCGCCTCGGCCTCCCTGAGCCTCAGTTCCAGCTGGTTTTTCCAGTCAGAAGTGATGGGGATTCTCTTCCTGGCACTGGAACCCTGAGCGGGGCACCTGGTGTGGGACGGGGACCCCTCAGTCCTCAGGGAGGACCTTCCAAGCGGAGGTGTCCTCCTGATTTTATCCGCCACACGTGGGTGTGAGACCAGCCTCGATGTGGCTGCTGCTTTAATTCCGTAGCTGTAGGACTTCCATTCAGCTGGATTTCAGGCGGTTCTGAATGATGGCTGTTCTGTAGTTAGTTGTAGCTGTGATGTGGTTGTGGGAGGACGGACACCGCGTTACCTCCCTGCCGTCCTGACCAGAAGTCTCTCCCTGATGCTTCTCTCTCCCTCTCTCGCAGCAGGAACCCCCTTCAGCGGCACCAGTCCTGACTTCCAAATGGAACAGTACATCACGACACAAACAACTGGCCCGGCTCTGGACTTTCCGTAGTGGATGCGGCTTTGGCTGCCCTTCCACTCTCTGTGCGCCGGCAAACACCGCCACCTTAGGTCTCCAGAGCGATTCTGTTTAAAATGTAAGTCAGTTATGCCTTTCTTGCTCAAATTCCTCTAATGTGTCCCCTCATACTCAGAATGAGACCCAGACCCGACTGTGGCTCCTGTGACTTGATGTGATTTGTATTCTGCTTACGTCTCTGACCTATTTCATAACTGGCCCCTGTGCTAACTTTGTCCAGCCGTCCCAGGCCTTGGACATGCCAAGTGTGTTCCCACCTCAGGACCTTTGTACCTGCTCTTGCCTCTGCTTGAAATGCTCTCTTCCCAGGCTTTGCGTGGCTGATCCCGCCTTCATTCGGTGGTTTTCTCTCCCTTTCTCAGGCAGGTTCCTGGCCCTGTGTAGCCTGCTCCCTGTTCCGATCACTCTACCCCCACCTCGCTCTGATGTCTTGTACTCTGCCAGTTTGTTTATTATCGGTCACCACTTTCTCTGTGAATATAAACTCTAAGTGCTTACACGGGTTCCTAACATAGAGTAGATAGTAAATATTTACTGAATAAATGATAAGTAAACACAAGAAAAGTGAAAATACTAAAAAATTCTGTGTATATTGTTAACCACCAAGGTACAGTATGAAGTGTTCTGAGATGAAGCGAATGGCAGGATGTCGTCCACGATGCTAACCACACGGTAAAACATAGAGACGACAGAAACACAACAGAAAATGAGCGTCACGGAAGACACGGCCACAGAAACCAGAAGGCAAAGCGATGGGAAATGTAAGACACTCCTGTAGATGTCGCCTCCTTCAGCTGACCTCAGAACAGCTCTTCCAAATCCCCGACATTCTTGTCAGGTGGATTCCCAGACCCGCGTGGAGAGGGCCCCTGGCGTGTGCCCCTCGGAGTCACCAGACATTCCTAGGCACCCTGAGAGCCAAGCTGCCCAGCCTTGGCTCCCGCTGGACGCCTGCACTGTGGGACGATCCAGGGACCCTCCGAGAAAAGTGTCCTGCTCTGGGGTGGTCGCAGAGGACTGGTAGGTTAGGGGACGCTACACATTCGAGGCAGGGTATTCTGGCCTCTTGGAGGAAACTGGCATTTTGTTCTCATTTTAAGTGTGTGCATTTGGTCATTCCCTAATTCATCCTTCAGAATCCCAAGCGAAGCAAAGAACAGGGGTTAACTCAAAACCCAGGGACATAATGGTGAAAAGCTACAGAAAAAAGCTTCTAGAGATAGTGAAAAACAATGGTGTGTTGCAGGGCACATCCCCCACCCAGCAGATTCTGGACAGGTTAGGCCCAGGGCAGGTAATTACAGACTCTTGGGCAGAGAACCATACAAGATGTGAGTTCTGGTCTCCCACTGCAACAAGCCTGTGATCACAGCACTGGAGCCTGGGCTCTGTGAAGACAGGAAGTTGCTCTCCTCACTTTCGTCATGTCTGCTAGCAGAGCATCTGACATGTAGTAGGTGCTCAATAAACATTTATTGATTAAATGAATGAAAAGAGTTATAATACTGAATTGCCATATGTGTAGTCAGTGTATAGCGAAATATAAAATATCCTTATTTTTTGCACAAAGAAAAGTGACCCTGAGCCAAAAAAGATTCCCCTTGGGGATCTAGCTCAGATTGGCGGGTGGTGGGAAAAGCGTTGTCAGGATTCTAGGCTTGTCCTCTGGAACTGGGTCTGGGGCAGGAACAGGGAGATACGAGAAATTGCTTAGACCAGGGACTCAAACTCTTTCTGGCAGTAAAACTCCTTCGAGGATCTGGGAAAGCATGATTTCTTTGCCCAGGAGAATTAACATGCACACAGAAGAGGCATGGGTGAGAGAAAGAATAGCAACTGTGACCTTGTAACTGGTTGTGGAAATGAGGAAAGTTATAAATGTGCATGTTTTTGTCGGGTATATGTTCATCTCTGATTTCCTTCATTTTCTCGTATTTCTCCTGCCACGTTTCTCAGCCTTGCCACTCTTGACACCGCAGGTCAGAGCATTCTGTGTTGGGGTGGAGGAGTGCTTCCCTGTGCCTTGTAGGAGTTTTAAGGCAGCCCTGGCCTCTGCCCAGTGGGTGCCTGTACCACTCCCCGAGAGGTGACACTCAAAACTGTCTTCAGACCCTGTGGGCAGAATTCCCGTCGCGAGAACCACGGCTCCACAGCTTGTATGAGGAGTCCTGGTCCTCTGTAACCAGCTACAGTGCTGCCTGGAGACACTGGACTGAAGGTCACGGTGACCTCCTCTTCCTGTCTGTGCTCCAGCTCCTGCCGGGCCGGCCTGCTGTCATCCGGCTTCCCGAATACCCTTCTTTTCCTGGTGATAGAAAGCTTTGAGTACACTCAGATTTACGGATTTGAAGGAGCAGCTAGCACCTAGTTCATGATGGACAACTCAGATCCCATGGTCACTGGGTATCTCTGGCGAGGTGTTTAGTCTCGAGGCCCCGGACCAAACAAGCCAGGAGCAGCTTCTAGGAGAAGAGCGTGGGTGGGGAGGGCCTGCTGCTCCCACACCCTGGAGCCTGGCTGCGATTCTCCTGCAGGGGCTTCCAGAGGTCCCGCAGCCTCCTGGTTTGCCTCAGACTCTGAGCAAGGCTGGTCTGCTGGTCAGAGGCTCTACGGCAGGCTGCTTGTCCCTGGCCACTTCTGGTCTGCACCCCTCCCAGCTCCCTGTCTGGCCGGTTCCCGGGTAAGTGGGTCAGAGAAGCCTGCCCGCTGTGACATCTGCCACCACCCCAGCCCGAGGGCTCAGGGCTAGCACCTGTGGATGATCAGGAGCGCAGAGCTACATGCTCCCCGCCTCATGGGTCAAGGGCAGCCCCACGTGGAGCTGAGACTGCTCGGTAGGCGTGTCTTCTGGGAGCGGTGGGGCGGAACTCTGCTGGGCATCTTCCCGGCGCCTCATTCTCATGCATCAATCAGTTATTAGCGTTTGTTTTCTCCAGCTTGTTAATGAAGCACAGATACTGCGTATCTCTCAGTGCCTGAGTTGGCACAGCACTTAATTTGCAAGAAAACACAGTTAGGCTGGGCTCCTCTTCCCGCGTGCTCTCTCTCGCAGCAGGAGGCTTCTTGGCTACTCGGCGGAGTGGACAACAGTGACCCGATGTGTAGATAAGGACCCTGCAGTCCGCCTTCCTTGCCATCATGAATCCTCCTCCAGCAGGTCCGTGTCCCACAGCACCCAGAGGACTTGCAGGAACGTCACTTTGGGGTGAAGGAACGATCCCGCGGTGGGGACCTCAGTTGTCAGAGAGCCGCTTCTCACTCTGAACTCCCTGTGATCGGGCTGGTCAGTCACCGCCGCGGGTCCGGCTTCTTTCCTCGTAGGAGTCGGTTTCAGTTAGGAAGCCTCGGCTGCTGTCTCAAGGTCCCACGAGTTTACTTCCCAAAGACATGTTTAGCTGAATCTAGAAGATCTTCCCTTAAAAAAAGAGATCTCTATTAAAAACAAAACACACAACAATAACAAAAACCAAATATAAAACAAAGCCCAGTCATTGGAGCCTTGAGTAAGGAGTGTCTTTCAATTCACCCCACATTTTCCTGTTATAGTTGAAATCCTTTGGGACTGTGACTACAGCTTTGGGGCTTCTGGCCATTTATTATTTCCATTTACAGACAGGAACCTCGGTTCAGGGAGGCTGAACAGAAGGTTTCAGGGCTGGGGTCCGGATCTCGCTGGGCTGGGGACATCGGCCAGGAGCCAGGAGCCTAACAGGCGAGCGTCACCACGACCGCTTTCTGAAAGCAGACAGCCTCACTCCGTCCAGCACTTTTCTTCTCTGCTCCTGAAACAGAGCTGCAGGAATCACCTGCATTTGCCGGATGAAGAAACTCATTTCCAGTGTTCTCTCCGTGTGACTTGCTCTTGCTGTGCCTGTCGGTGTATAACGACAAGTGGCTGCAAGTTTCATCTTCTCCACAGCTATTTCCTTGAACGGATCTGTTCAAGTCCTCAGAAGAACCAGCCTTCTAGGGTTGGCAGTTGAGAAGCCTTGATTTACACTGGACACCAGTAATTTCTAGAAGGGCGGGGACCCTTCCAGGTCAGCATTTGGACAGCACTCTCAGGCCCTAAGAGAGCATCCAGCCCACAGGAAGTGCCCATGTATCTATCATGTACCAGCACTAGGCTTCCAAGTAGATTTCACATCAGTGAGTTTCAATAAATATTTTTGGAAAGTATGTGGAAGCATAAATCATTGCAAGTAAATGAAAAACAGATTTTTAAGCAGTGATTTGGCCAGTGGGTAAAATATCTCGGGCCCCAGAAGGTTTCATTAGTTCTGAAGGCCTCATCAATCTCTGGAGATAGGAAGCAACGGTCTGGGAGCATCGGGAGCCCGAGAAAACAGTGTCATCACGCCTCTTTGAGTTTTATGAATGTCCATCCCCTGCAGGATGACTCTGAGACCTCAGCCGGGGACCCGCACATGATGCGGATATTCCTTCCTGACCCACATGTGTACGTGACACCGTCTGGCAAGTGCCTGCTCACCCTGGGTGCTTGCAACACCTACAGCTCGTCTTCCCAGCACCTTGCAGCTGTAATGCCCTTTTTCAAGTGAAGAAACAGCACAGACGTCAAATAGCTTGCTAACGTCACATAGTAAGTGGCAAGGCTGAATTCAAGCCTGGGTTAGCGTGACTCTGTCTTCTCCTTCCTTCGTTGATGTCCCAGATCATTGACTCGAAGAGCCCAGGCTGCCCGTTCGAGACTCACGCCGACGGCTGACATGCGCTGTGAAAGCAGCTACATGGCATCGTCCTTCCTGGCCAGTGGGGTTCGGAGCTTCACTGTCTCTGGACAGACACCCCCAGGGCTCTGTGGTTGGGGTGGGTCTGTGCTTCCTTGTGATCCGGTGAATGCTGTACGATGTCTGCAGCCCCTGCCAGGCCAGGGACCT